TTGTTGTACTTGTTCATTCTCCTTGTGTTCTTGTTTGTTGCGTTTGCCTACAGTAAACACACACACACACCTGTCGTGTCTCAACAAAGATGAAGGACCTGGGCAGCCCAGACATATGTCTCGGCATCAAGGTGCAGCACGACCGCAAGGCCAGGACCGTCACCATGAGCCAGGAGCACTACCTGCGCAACGTGCTGGAGACCTTCGGCATGGCTGACTGCAAGCCCGTCGGCACGCCGCTCTGCACGGGCTACGTCGACAAGCCAGCCGACAAGGAGGAGCCACTCCCGGACGTGCCGTTCCGCGAGCTGCTTGGCTCCCTCCTCTATGCTGCGACGATGACGCGCCCAGACATCTCGGCGGCTGTCTCCATCCTGTCTCGCCGCATGCAGCACTTCGGCATGGACCACTGGAAGGCTGCCAAGCACCTTCTTCGCTACATCAAGGGCACCTTGTCCTACATCATCAAGTACGCCGCCACTGACGACGCCAGCAACGGCAGCACCGCCGACGGCGTGCTCTCAGCGTACTCGGATGCGTCGTTCGCCTCCGACGTTGACACGCGACGTTCCCGCACGGGCTTCGTCGTCTTCTGTTCCACGGGCCCCGTGTCCTGGAACTCCAAGCTGCAGGCCACCGTGGCCACAGCCTCCGCCGACGCGGAGTACATGGCTCTCGCAGCCACCGCACAGGAACTCATGTTCCTTCGCCAACTCCAGGAGGAGCTCACCGGCGCCGTCCTGTGCGAGCCCACGCTCGTCCACACGGACAACCAGCCGGCGCAGCGCGTTGCCGAACACGCCGCCTCGCGCATGCGGCACATCCTCGTCAAGTACCACTACATCCGTGAGTGCGTCGACACCAAGAGGATTGTGCTGGGCTACCTCGCCACGGAGCACATGATCGCAGATCTCCTCACGAAGATCCTCCCTCGGCCCAAGACGGCTCAGTTCTGCACGATGCTGTTCGACCAGCGTCCTCTGCCAGGCTGCCAGCCACGGGCCCGTCCTCATTCGGGCCGGTCGCCACGTCCTTCGACTCCGCGTCAGGACCTCTGAGTGGCCGCGCACCACAGGACACGCCTTCACTCGGGCCAGCCTTCCACAACAGGCTGCGCACCACAGGCACCAACCATTTTCTTAAACGTGTTCCACAACACACGTCCTTACTCACATCTCACCGACTTCAACCGTGACATCAGTCACATTTGTACTGCACTGCAGGACTGCACAAACCACACGAACGCGTATGGTGTTTGTTCCTCCGTTGATTAACCGACCTGTTTCTCCTTCAAAGTATCACAACGACCAGTAAATCGTACTCCCCACAGCTTTTGCCAGATAGCAGTTTCATACTTCATACATACGACAACGTTTGCGCAGGTCAGATGCTCTGTTTGGGGATGTGAAACGCCAGAGAGAGTGACGCAAATCAAATCAACTACCACCACCGAATGCGCCGCCTGCTCATGCTGCTGTTTAGCGTCGTTACCGTATTGCTGTCGGAGACGTGGCGAGCTCTGGGTGCATTGTGTCCAGTTTCGTGCATGATATATCGTGGGTTGGGCGGATGCATTGAGCTGGATGCATGAGAGCACGAAGAAGAAATCTCGCAAGCCACGTGAAGCCCCTCGTAGCAAGAACATCACACTGCTCACACGATTACACCCTGCATGCATTATTGGCTGCCACAACCATGTCACACGAATTGTTTCCAGGACAATGGCTTACGGACATGACTGCAGTGTGTATGTGTGTGTGCGTGTGTGTGCGTGCGTGCGTCTGTACTTCTCACTCTCATTCGTGTGTCATGTACGATAGTTAGCACCTTCACGTGAACGCAAACACTTCAGTCAACACTGTGTCAATTAAACAAGGTCATGCACAGGGACAATGGCAAGATACCGTCTACAGGAATACGATTACACATCAGACACAAACGATTCCCGATCTACAGGAATACGATTACACATCAGACACAAACGATTCCCGATCCCTCCCCACAAACACACACACACACACACACACACACACACACACACACACACACACAAGTTACTCCGAGCGATCGGCGGTACGCCTTGTCTGCAGCGTGGCTGCCATTTCCGTGGGTGATTGGTGCACCATCACGACGTTAGGCCATTGCCAGTTGCCAGCATTGCCGGTGCTCCTGCAGCCGCGAAGCACGAGCGAGGTGACGTGTGGAAGGCTGCTCACATCATCAAATTCGCAGTTGTTGAGGATGAGGCGCTGGATGCTGTCGAAGCAGGAGAAGCTGCCAATGTGACAGCCCTCGAGCCGGCACGTGGACACGTCGGTGATAGAGCGCAGCAGCAGTGGGTGGTCTGGGCTGTGTGGCCGGGAGGTGGTTCGGGCGGCGTTCACAACCGTCAGACATGCTGTGGAGGAGATGGTGACGGCACCGGAGCAGTCAGCCAGCACAAGCTGCTCGCACTCGGCAATGATGCCGTCCAACTTGCAGCGCTCAAGGTGCAGGTGCTGTCGACCCGAGAGGTAGTGGATATCATGAACACGGACGTACGCGCCGGCCTCAGCCTGCAGCCGAAGGTGCGGCACACTGGTCACGAAGCGCGGCTGAAACGTCTCGTTGCAGAGCAACTGCAGCTCCTGCACGCACGGCGGTACCGGGGCGCCAATGTTCACAGCCTGATGCGCCTCAAGGCCAACGTGCACGCTGTCGGGGATGTCACGGAGATCTTCGATGCGGCAATGGCCAGAGCACCGCAGCACCAGTCTGTCCACGCGGCGGCCAAGGTCGGCGAGCTGCTGGCGCACCAGGTCTACCACTGAGAGCTCCACATGCACGGCATGCTCAAAGGCGGGCAGGCGGAGTTCGTGCATGGACATGTTGCGTGTGTCCCTCAGCAGGCGCAGATACGGCGGGCACGTAAGCTGTATCACGCCGCGTGGGCCCACAAGGCTGATGTGGGTGGCGTTGGGGAGGTCCAGATCAAGCGGCACAGCACGCGCAGTGCCGAGTTCCACACGCGTGGCGGCAAGGGTGTTGCCGGTGAGTACAGCGCTGCGAAAGACGAGGTCATCAGCCGCTGCCACCACAGCCTGGATGTTTGTTGACAGGCACTCGGAGAGCAGCAGCTTGCGCACACCGTGGAGTGGGGAGAGGTCCATCTGGTTTCGGCACCTCGACAGGTCGACGTGGGGAATACCTGCCAGCGCACTGGCATCGCACAATGGACTTCTCTGATCCTCGCCGACCTGTGGAATCCTAGCCCAGGGAAAACCAAGTCCGATGGGAGGCCAGCTCTGGAGAGCAACACAGTGTACCTGCTCGAATGTGCCATGAATTGCTTCCATGGTGTTGTGCAGCGCAAACTCCAAGCGCCTCACGTTGCTGAAGGCGACTGTGTCGATGGGTGCATTGGCGGCATCGATGCGGAGCGTGTCAATATCGGAGGCCGCGAGGAAAGCAAGCTGTTCGTCGACGCGCAGAGTCACGTTGTATTGTAAAGTGCCGGCCAGTGCGGTGAGGCGAAGCTCGTGCCATATGTCGGCTGCTTCTTGGTTTTGAAGTTGTGCGTCGAGAAAGAACAGGGCTGGACAAAGCACAGTCTGCTGCTGCTGTTGCTGCTGCTGCTGGTGGTGGTGGTCCTTTCGGTCGTCCTGGTCTTGCTGCTGGAGGTCTTCCTGCTGCTGGTCTTGTTGCACAGACTGCTGTTCCTGCTGTTGCTGGTGTTGCTGGTCTTCTCGCACCACTTGAGGGGTGGTGCTGCTCGCGGAAACGGAATCGCCCATGGCTGTGGCCTCTGCCAACACAGCTGTCGAGGAGGTGTCTGCACGCTGCCCCCCACGATCTGGCGCGTTGGCCCATAGGCTGACAGCATCCAGGTCACGAAAGCGCACACGGCCACAAGTGGCAAAGACATCCGAGAACCCGTGCCCAAGAAGCGGAGGTGTGGTGGCCAACCTGATGAGGAAACGGCAATCGCTGTGCCAGGTTGCGCCGAGCCAGCTGTAAGCCAGGAAGCGGTGCTCCAGCCACACAGCCAAGGATGGCGCGGCAGCAGGGTCGGAGGTGACATCGTGTGCTGTGGTCGCGTGTGCATCGGCAGGCTGCAAGCCGCGCGACGCGGGCTGTCCAAGGCCAAGCAACCTGGTGCTGTCTTCGTCGAAGAATGTGATGGGCTCCGAAAACACGCTGTCGACAAGGCACCACTTGCTCATGGCTTGGGGCAAGTCGTGGTACAGCTCCCGGCAGGAGAACATGATGTTGAAGAAGGTGCGTACGCTGTCTCGCTCAGCCTGTTGCCAGTAGGCGAACCGCCTCCTGCGTGGCTGATCCGCATGGCCTGCTCTTGGAGGGTCGGTCGATGTTGTCGAACCCAAATGTTCATCTATAAATACAATGAGATGTGCAGACAGCCTTGTCTCCCCCCCCCCGGCGACGCCAGTCACGAGGCGAAATGAGAGTGTGAGGTGTGTGCTGTGTGTGTGTGTGTGGGCAAGAAGGGGAGGTCAGAAGGAACGGGTGAAGAACAAGGAAGAAAGGGAGGGAAAGAGGAGAGGGGAGGGGAGTGGGAAGAGACAGAGAGCAGAGAGAGCAGGGAAGGGGGGAGCGCAGCCACGTGGTTCTGTGGGTGTCAGTGTGGTGGAGTGCCGCAGTTGCAGTGTCGATTGTTGTCCGCGTGTCGACAACGCACAGAAAAATCGCACACACACGCACAAGAAAACACAAACAAGAAGGAGCGAGGAAGAATGAGACGACTTGCAGTGCGTGTCTGCTTGTCGTGGGTGGTGCTCTTGTTTCTCGCAAGCACGCTGCTGACGACACTCACACCTCGCACTGTTGGGGTGGTGGTGAATGCTGCTGAGGACGGCGGTGGGGATGGCGGCGACCCATTTGTCAGCGTGGACAGCAACGGAGACCTGCGTGTGGACGCCGGCACTTCCGGCAACCTGGTGCTTGTCAGCCATCATGACATTGTGCTGAACACCACCAACAACAACAACAGCAGCAGCAGCAGCAGCAGTAGCAGCAGCAGCAGCAGCGGAGGAGGAGGAGGAGGAGGAGTGTGGATCAACGGCATCAACGTGCTGCAGGACCTGAAGCACCTCCGCCAACTCGCAACCACATGCAACGCAACAGCACCATCATCGTCCTCACCGCCGGCACCGCCGGCACCGCCATCACCGCCGCCAACGCCCATGGTCTTGGACTGTGCGTCATCGGCATCGCGCGCTGCGGTGCGCGCCCAGAGCCAGCCCATCATCGCCCAGGTCATCAACTGCTGCTGCGAGGAGTTCCTCGCTCTCGACGACGTTGACGGGCCCGTGAGCGTCTCCAGCACTCAGACGTCGCTGTCCTTCGGCACCATCCAGAGGATCGGCGGGGATGTGCTGGCCACCAGCGGCAGCCTGACCATGGTGGACTTCAGCAAGGTGACGTTTGTGGCGGGCGCCGTGGACCTTCGCGGCAACTCCATCTCCTCCATCTCCTTTGGCGGTCTCTTGCGCATCGGCGGCTACCTGGATGCCAGCGTGAACAATCTGGAGATGCTGGACTTTGGTCGCATCACGCGTGTCGGCCGCCACATCACCCTGCGCGATAACGACCTCACAGCCGTCAACTTTGCCGGGCTGATGCGCATCGGCGGCATGCTCAGCATGGAGCAGAACATGCTGCAGTCCGTGCACTTCCGCCGCCTCTCCAGCATTCCAGGAGCATTGGACCTGTCGCAGAATCCCCCGCTCACAGCTGTGGACTTTGGCGGCATCACCGCCATCAGCGACAACCTGCTCCTCTACAGCACGGGCTTGCAGTCGCTCAACATGGCGAACGTGACGGTGATTGGGGGCTTGGCCCTCATCTTCAGCAACGCCATCACCGCAGTTGACTTTGCCTCCTTGACGCGTGTTGGCAACTCACTCCAACTGTACAACAACAACATCATGGGCACGCTCGATTTCCACAATCTGCGGGCGGTGGGCGCACGCGTGCACCTCTCGGGCAACTCGGGCCTCATCACCGTCCAGTGCCGCAATGTCCAGGCAGAATGCATTGATGTGCCCAGCTTCCAGAACCTCCTCACCTGCCCAACCAGGTGCTGACTGTGTTGTGTTTTGTGTGTGTGTTTGTGTGTGTGTGTGTGTGTGTGTGTGTGTGTGTGTGTGTGTGTGTGTGCACGTGTGTGTGCTTGAAATTCCACACCCACACGCCATGTACACATCATGCATGCGTTACTTCATGTGGCTGTGTGTGCTTTCCCCCTGCAACATCATGGTCAGCTTGACCACTTGCCTGGCCCGTGTTCACTTCGCGCAACATTACGTTCTGCTCGCATCGCTTTGCCCCCCCCCTGCCCCACTCTCCTGCTTGCGCGATCACGGCCACTTCCGTCTTGTGAACCGGTGTTGATTGTTTATGTCATGTTACACACGTCACTGATGCTTCTTCAATATGATGTGCACGTGTTCTTTGCCTGCGCTGCTTCACCTTGCTTCATAGCTGGCCTGCAAACGGCTGCCACTTGTCCATGCTGCCACATGACTCACATGAATGAATCATGTCAGCACGCGCTTGTCTGCTTATGTGTGTGTATGTGCGTGTGTATGTGCGTGTGTATGTGCGTGTGTATGTGCGTGTGTATGTGCGTGTGTGTGCGTGTGTTGTCATCTACAAATCAACAACCATGTCTCGATGGGCACTGAGAACCAACCACACCAACAAATATAACCTGGGTGCTGTGGCAATGTATGAACTCATGTGTGTCTATGTATGAAGCAAGAACGCACTGCCAAGCGGCAGATCAAATCAAAATAAAGCCGGCAAAACACGTGGACATGCCGCCGCGTCGACGCTTGAACAGGCACAGACAGTGACGCCACGAAACACAGCGGACAAATCAACAACAACGGAAGAACACAGAACACAACAGAACTGCACACCACACACCAATGCGTGCGAGTAACACTTCTTGATACGGCTACGGGCATTACCAAAACACCAAACCAACAAGAGTAATCCACATACGCACATCCTCTCTCCCTGGTGTGTGTGTGTCTCTCTCTCTCACACACAACAACATCACACACACACACATACGCACACACACACACACAACACACACACACACACAACACCCCCCCCCCACACACACACACACAACCACATCACACACACACACACACATTACACGTCAACGCTTTCTGATTCTTGGATGGAGATGGTGACGCTGTTTCCATCACCTCGCGTTCCCGTCCCCTCGTCCACTTCATCGTCATCGCTGCCCTCCATGATGGCGCTGTATCTGCGGTTGTTGGGCGAGGCCTCTGCATCCACCGCCGCCAGCGCGTAGTACGACGAGCGCTTCTTCTTCGGCCGCGACGCGTCACCATCATGGTCATCGTGGTCATCACAAGGGGAAGGGGGCATTGCCGACAATGGTGACGACGACGACGGTGGTGGTGGTGGTGGGTTGCGTGGGGTGGTGGAGGTGCGACGGCTGCCAAAGCTGTCACGTGACAGGGCCTCAAACTCCTTTGCATCATTGAGCCACGACACGGAGCTCAGGGACACGCGCGCCGATGCGCGGCTCTCGTGCGTTCCTGCCGACTGCCGCCCAATGGACGACGCACACTTTTTCTTGAACACAAACCCGCCCCCAATGCTGTCCCTCGGCTGCGCGCTGTTCTTGTGGCCGTCGGCGTCATCACCGGTGTGCTCTTGATCGTGACAATCGCCATCATCGATGCCGCAGCTGCTTGCATCGTCACCCTCGCCCATGTCAATGACGGTGGCCTCGTTCTCAGCAATGGCAACACGCCCCGTCTGCTCAGGTTTCCTCGTGCTCACCAGCCAGTATGTCAGCATCTCGCCCTTGCCCTTGATGTTCTGCACCCCGCGCGACTCAAGCTTCACCCACGGCGCTGGCTCCGCACGCGGTCCCCCGCAGACGTCGACATGTGGATCTGTTGCGCTCGCTCGA